CCTTTTTTTTTTTTTTTTTTTTAAGAATGGAAGATGGAGTCAACTAAATGAGACACAATTGACTTTTTTTTCTTTTTCAAATATATGCATTACTGCTGTGTTACAATAAAGTATGTTTAGTACAGTTCCCTTTGTTGGCCATTATTTCTTATTTATCAAACTTCACTTGCCACTCTCAAAAGGAGCACGGTGCAGGAACCATGCCACCTGACCAGTTACACAGACCAGAAAAAGGAAACTTGACAAATAGATAGCTTTAGAAGTTAGATTGCAAGTTCTTTTAACTTGGCACAGTCATTATATTACACAGAAATCTGTCTCCAGTAATTAGCAACAAATAATTTTAACTTTACCTTCAATATTTATCCTGACTTATAAAATAATCTGCTATGCACTACAGCAAACACTTGGTGGCAGCATTTGGTAACTTAAATATTACATCTTGAACTTTCTCAGCTTCCCCTTTAGACTATTTATAAAGAAACTGAGTTCTCTTCAAACCTAGTAACCTTAACATTTACAAGAACCGATGTCCTGAACTGTGCTCACCACTTCAGATGAATTGTTTTTATTTCTTTGATTCAAAATACTTCTAAATTAATTTGACAACTGTCTATGAGGATGCTTTATAAACAGCGTTCTAATATTGAGCTCACAACTTCAGATCTAGAGTTTGTAAACCTGTCAGAAGTTAACATCTTCAGAGAGAAAATTAATTTCAGAGAGAGCACTTTATTACTTTCATCTAAACCTTGCAGTTCAGGCAATTGGAGGGGTATCAGAAAATCGCACTGGATGAGGTCATTTAAAAAAGAGGACACTCACATATTTTTTTCCTTCATCATTCAGAACTGTATCTTGAGCCAAGCTAATTCTTCAGCCTCAAAAAAGCTAAATACATCTTTGTTTAAAAATAAATGGGTTTTGGGGTGAGGGGGTTGTTTTTGTTTTTACCACTGGGGATTTTTGTACTGTGATGATTGTTCTTGTGTCTGGATCTTATTGCTATGTGTAATGATTTTTCAACCTGTTAGTAAGAACTAAAATGTATTATGCTATATGCCACCCTGTGAAGAAGACTTGGTGAAGCATCGCTCGCTGTGTGGCCTCTGAAACCCACAATCAGAGGGCTACTTCTAGAGCATGCATAGAGGTTGCAGTTAAGACAGAAATGCCTTCATGCAAATCCTGTACAGTGTGATATGCTTTTCAGAAACCTTGGCCCATTCCCAAAAAAGCTTGTTTTCTGCTTGTTACCTGTATGTGATCTAACTATTTTTATAAACTGCAGGGGGTACTGAGGCAGATCCTTGACTGGGCTAAATTTTTTGTAGCTCCATTGACTTTCTCCAGCTGAGGATTTGCTCCACAATTATTTAATTTTCCCGTAGATCAGATTGGTCTTGTGTGCTTCCCTTTAGACCATACATATTTTTAGAGCACTGGGAGAGAAGGCATTATGTGTTTTAGATAAGGCAAGCAAATAGATCTGCCCAATTAACCCAGTGGTTTACTTCTGTATTTCTTAATGTGTAGTGCTTCCTCTGTTACAATACAAAACACGTAGTTCTTAATACTCTTGTCATTTTTAAATGGTTTGTTTTTACTTCCAAGCAAGCTTCCCCTTCTACAGTGTTTAGGCTTTGACAGAGGCACTGCACTGAGTTAGAACATCTATCTTTGTTTTTAAAACCTCAAGGATACATGGAGACAATGAGTTATTAAACAGAACTGTTCTTGGCATACAAACTTCCAGATAGGACTGGAATGAAAATATCTGCAGTCTGCTTTCATAACTTCGGTCGCTTGGACTGTGTTCAGTAATAAGTGCTCTGCATAATTAGCCCCCAGTTTTGCTTTGTGTGGGGGGTTTTTTTGTGTGGTTTTTGTGGGGTTTTTTGTTTTGTTTTGTTTTTTAGAGGTAAGGTGCCTATAACTGTTTGTCAATGAAAGACCAAGACTTCTGGAATCCTTCATGAATCTCTCCTTTTGCTCTTTCCCATGTTCATACACCCCAGCTTTTCTGCAGCTGAGCCAAATAAAACTAGCCAATACCAGTTTGTTGCCCATGTTTTCTTTTCTATACAAGGGCTTCGTTTTCAGTCTCACATTTTCAAGTGCTAGAGAAGGGGTGAACATTAACACTGCCTCTTTCTCATGCATTGATCCTGTCCACAGCACTGCGAAATTAATGCTGGAATGATTATTCATTAACTTTGCTTCCTGTAGGTACAAAGAAAATTTACTGTGTAAACATGGTTTATAAAGAACATACAACTGTTCTGTTCCCTAGAGTGCTGGATCGTAAGAGTGCACAGTTACACTGTTTCTCTAGAAACCCAAAGGTGCAAGAGCACAGTGTTAAATAAAATCAATTGCACTAAACTTGCTTAGACAAAATGTAAACAAAAGCATTTTTGAAGAAGCTGCTAATATTTTGAGGCAGTTCATAGTCAAATGATCAGTATGAAGAAGCTTTCTTCTTAGTGTGTTCTTTTTTGCATCTGACCCAAATGCCTGTCCATTAATAAAATATAAAGCAGGGGCAGTTTAAAGGGTGAGAATTTTAAAGGTGCCTACATAATGTAGCACATCTCATTAAGGCAAAAGGTTATGTACTCCTATTGCATTAAGGTACTTTTGAATATTACTTAAGTCGTATTGCATGAGAAACACCTAGACCGTTGCGTGAAATAAATGTGGGCTTTGTAGCACACCTTGAACTGTTTGAAAGATTCCTGTCATGTGGTACCCTTTAACATAGTCCCAGCTTTGTGGAAAACCTTGTTCTCCTTTATGTAAGTAGATGGATTTTCTACGAACAGGAAGTTTGGTATCCCTTTATGTAAGCAACCCATCCATCCATCCAACTTCTAGCCTACCAGTGCTTTATGGTGAGACAGGCACCAACATTTCTCTGCTGAAAATCTTAAGGTCATTTCCCCTTTCCAGAAGCAGCAGTTTAGTAATCTGCTTTGATACAGTCAAATCAATAGAGGGTGGGTTTTTCTGTCACCATTTCTTTCACGAGTTTGCTAAGATGTACCTTATCCAGAGCAGAGGACAGGTAACTTTCACAAGTACAGGATTTATTGTGCAAACTTCAGCACTGCTTAGACTGCAGGGCCTAATAGCAGTGATGCCCCTCTGGTGTGGCCTGGGTGGCACGCCAAGTCCCTGGATGCCTGCCCACAAAGCAAAAATAATAATAAAAAAGAAAGGCTAGCATATGAATCACTTTTGAGGAATTTGGACAGGTAGTTTTCCCCCATCCCACATTTCTGAGAGTCCATTGGAAGGGGGTTGACTCTGGTCATGGTGGGATTGGAATATTGTAGCAGTGATGGTCTAGGAAATATGCAAAAAGCAAGATTTGTTTTGATGTCTCTGATTAGGCCAACAATATAGTTGGGAGTTATGTTAGACAAGATTTTGAACAAAAGTGCCCTTCCTCAGGTCATTACACCCCTCCCCATCTCTTCGGGCAGATCCAGTCATGGGTCCTTGTATTCCTATTAAAGGACTCGTGATGGGGTCCTACAGGAGTGGGATTGCCACAAGTTATTTCCATCTGTTCTTAATGCTGGGGTTTCTAGCCCTCCACAGGTACTCAGAAGGCTTCTGGCACTAAGGAGATTTTTCTCATTTCTATGCTTCAGAGAAGCAGGTGCAGGCTAGGAGCCTTTCAGGCCTCGGGAAGCGGAAACTCTCGGGCATATCAGTTTGCTACAGAGGATTTAGACTTTCTCATAGAGGACTTTTCCAGGGCTCAGTTGGTGTCTGCAAAAGGGTAGAGAAAATTTCTGTAGTGTTACCTTTATTTAATAATGTGATAAGCCTTTTTAATTTTGTTTTTTTGAGTGAGCAAAGTGCAGCTGAATGAAAATGGCAGTTACCCTAACCTACCCACCAGTCTGTCACCTACATTAATCTCAATGAGTTAACAGTGGTTACCGTAATCCAAATGTGATAGATTCTTATAAAGAGATACCTAAGATAGGAGCAGCACAAAGCACCGTCCAGACTAACTGCTTGAATATTTATCTTGGGTGCCTGCTGAATTTTGCAGTCCATACAACTAAACATAGTGGTGAAGTGGCTCCATTGCTATCAGCACCTGAAAGCTCCTGTAAAGCTACTTTGAATGGGTTGCAATCACACAGCATAGGAAATGTCCACCTTCTCCTTTATGGTTCCTGTGCAATGTGGTGGCTTAATATGTATAATGGTGCTGCTCAGAAAGGTTGTGTACACCACAGTCTTTCAGAGCT